TTGTTCTCCATCATGCCATCATGCTCCCCAGTGTTCATTCTCCAATAGCCTGTCACTACTTTCTCTAGTTACCTAATATTAAGCATCCTTATGCCAAATATTTGAACATTTTCCAAATAGCTAGTTCTTATACATTCTTTTAACATACCTTTGTGAACTCTTATTCTTCTGCCCTAAATTCAGCTTTATGATTTTATGTGTTTTATTTGGAAATGGATAAAGCAGAAAAAACAATCTATAATGTGATCTCAACTTAAAAGGCTAGAATTTATGCATCATCATCTACATTTCCTCACAGTGAGATGTTACTGTTTGAGTCAACGCAACAATAAAGTTTGCCAGAAAAAAAAGTAGGACAGATCAGTTAAAACTGAAACTTTTGTGTTCTAATTCTTTAGGAGAAATAAAAATTATTTTTCATCTAATTTACATATAAAATACTGTTGAGCCAACTGAATTTTTTTTAATAAGGAACAAGATAGGAAGGAAAATAGTCAGATGACCTCAAGGAAAATTTCCACAGAAAGTCACCTTTGTGTTAAAACTTAATAAATGTTTTTTTTCCTTATTTTTGTTGTTGTTGTTGCTTACTAGTTATTTAGAATACACTAACATTCTTCATGTGCTGAAGATAAGGTTTGCATGTTTTTAGGATTGCTTGTTTTTAACAAATTGCATGGATTTCAAGTGCAGATCTAATTTTTTTAATCTAATTATTGCCTGACTCCATTCCACATATACTTCATGTCCCTACATTAAAAAGATTTTTAGCCTATTTGTCACTTCTATTTTAATTTAAAGAGATGATTTATATCTGTTATAATGAGTTGACTCTTTAATGGAGCACAATAAGCTAACAGGAAAAAAAAACTTTTATAATGTTCATCCAATGATATTTCCTAGGATGACAGGGAAGTCTGTTTAAATATCTGAAAAACTATTCTTGGATGAGAAAAATTCACATACCATTTTAATAAAATATTATAAAAATCTAGAAAATGAAAAAAGTACATAGTCGGGAAGGTGTTTTCATAATGTTCAGCTTTTGGCAGTTCACAAAATATTTTCAGTTCTTCTACCTGTGTCATTGTAGATAGGACATTATTTTGCCTTTAGTTCTTTCAGTAAAGACCGGCAAAACTCAAGACAAATAGTTATTTTAGACTAACTGAAGTTCTCCACCTGTAATTTGGATATGAAATAAATGGAGAAGTTTTCACTTCAGGAAAACTGAAACAGTGAAGAGTATTAGGCTAGGTTTCTCTTTCTGGGTGCTATAACTGTAATATAAGGATATTTCTAGTAGTAGAAGTGCCAATATATGGGAAGCCTGTTTATATATGCAACATTGAAAATGGCACTGAAGAAACAAATACAGTGTCGTCTCATTTTGCTCTCCTTTCTTTTGTGGGGAAGTATTTAGGGCAGTGTTTGTTTTTACTTTCCACAGTGTATTTTAAGCTGTGATAGTCACAAGAAAATTGAGATTTTGAAAGAAACTGGCTGACTAAATTTTTTAAAAGCAAGTAATCTTATTTTTAACAGATTTGAGGAGATTAGTATTTCTTTAAGTCCTGATCTAGCAGAAAGTACCTTCTTTTAAGTTCAGAGTTATGGCAAACTGTAAACTTTAGCTCAAGTCTTCGAAAGAGAGAATAAATCAGAGAAACTCCGCCTTCCATTTGCAGATCCTATTTCTAACTTGACAGTGTGCACAGAGAGAGAATGGAGAAATAAGGAAAATGTACTTTGGGACTTCTTAGGAAAGGCACAAAAACGAGTAAAATCATGAAAGGGTTCTTCTTTAAAGATATAAATCTCTTAAAGACTAGATGTTGTAGAAGTAAGCTTTAACATTTTAAAATCTGTAAAGATCAATATAGTTAAAACCTTTTAACTTAGAAGTTGCATATAATGTCCACAGAGTTTTGTACAGTTTGATTTTGCAGATAAAGAACTGCGCTTTCTGCGTCATCAGAAAAATCATCTCTACTTTTTGCAGACACATAAGCTAGTAAATATCTTGCTTTACCTGAGGGTATTTTTGTTGTATGGTTTTTGACCTGCTGGCTGGAGGCAGCGAAGCTTGGTAACTTTTATGGGATCGTGACCATAAAGCACTTGGAAAAACATACCTCCTTTCAAAGGTCAGTGCCCAGAAAACGATGTCTGGGAAGGTATGTTTCTTTGGTATCATGTTTTTTCACTTCATCTCAAGATTTAGCTTCAGGTTAGTTTTCACCATTTTATAGTATCCCGAGTATCTTTTTCTGACATACTCGTCTATGTTTTTTTAACATACTTGTGGCAGAAAGCAACAAACCTTAAAACATTTCACTGTCACTCTATTTAGTGGTATTTGGAAAAAAAAATAGCAGCCTGTGGCATCTTAATCAATTCCTGATGCAACGAAAGTGAAGTGGAAAGATGGGAAGTAAATACGTTCATTACTAGCACGTCTCGGGAAACAGCACTGGGAGGAAAACATAACATCTAGGTTAAGTAGATTAGGAAGGCAATAAGCTTGTGACATAAAGTATAAGAAACCAACAGGTGGTGGCATGCAGGTTAAAGCAGAATCATAAATTAAACAAGAGGGAAAGAGACATTACTCGTTGCTGTAGATTACACTGCGTAATACGTGAAAATAAGCAATTGCAAGCTAACAATCAAATAAGCACCTGCACCAAAGTATACTCACGATTAATATTTCAATAGGCCATCAATTATGGAAAATAAAATCCCCAGACTGTCTAATCCTATTATTTTTTTCCTCCAGTAAGAACAAACTGCTAACAACGATGTTATTCTCTGCCAGTAACAAGCAAAAAGCAAAATGGGCTCATCATGTTTTTTGAGGTTCTTATCAAGAGGTCAGAGTTAATTGGTCCAAAATAATCACACTCAGGAGTTTCGTGCTACTGTTTTGAATTCACATGAAAGTACAAAGTACCTGCATTTTAAATGAAAAATACAGAACAAAATATGTTTGATCTCTATATGTCCAAGACAAAGGTAGCACTCATATATGGGTTGAACAACCACTGTGGACCCTTCAGCGCAGAAGGCAGAAATGAGTTGCTAACTATACCTTACTATATCAGCTGTCATAATAGAAGAGATCCTTGAAAGATCCTTTTTACAAACTCTCTCACATTTTTATTTGTGTCCCTTTAGCTACGTGTCCTTTTTTTTTGTCACATCTTTTTTTGAGTGTTTCAAAAAAGCTACATAATGATGGCGACCTTTTTTAGATGTTTTCTGCTCATATTTATGGCAACATGGCATGTTATCCTTTATCTGAGCAATCTCTAGGCATTTAGTAAATGAAGGAGAAAAATAAAAAGAAAATACCACTGTCATACTGTAACCCCTTTTCTTTTCTCTCTTCCCTGTGTTACAGCATGTTTGTTTCAACAGTAAGAGAGTAGAAACAGAATAGTAAATATTATTCAGGATTAGTTAGTTCCTGAACTTTGTATACTTGGCCAGAGTTATTCAAGCCATGCATTGTCTTTTGCTGAAGCTGTTTATATGAAGTTTTGTCAGAAATAATAACAATTATTGCTGGACTATGGATACGAAAATAGTCTGGTGAAACCAACCTAGTGAATCTCTCAAGTTATGCCCACTGTCTCAGTCTCCATCATTTACTATAATTTTTAGCAAATTCTCTGTAGCTACTTCTCTTACTTAATAACATCTCTATAATCTGTGTTAATCTTCTTCTATAAAATATGTTTCATTTTCTCCCTTATTACTCATTTTCAAACTTTAGCCCTGCGTCTGACCAAAGAAATACTATTTCCTAAAAAAAGGAACGCTGATAATATATTTTACTAGCTTTTACAGATAACAATATTGTGAAAAATAATTAATTTGAAAACACATAATGGATATTGGAAAGTTTACAAGGATTTTTAAGGACAAGATGCTGTAGACTTCACCAAAAGTTTCCCACATGTATTCCCCCTGGAACGTACCAAACAAATGACTTAAAAAGTTCATCTACTGTGCTCCATGTTATGAGTGGATAAATGCACGCACTAGAACACATGTTGCATACTGTAGTTTTGTAAATGAATCAGTGAAGGCTTTTAGAATTTGTGTATGTTCAATGTAAACAAATACATTTAAGACATTGAAATGTATTCACTAGTTGAAGCTCTTACTAAAGGATGGATTGCCTTTAGTTGGACTAAGCCTTTATTTTCCTTTTTTGCATTGGGCTACAATAGCAGGATCTACCTCAGCAGCCTGAGCAAGTGAAGGAAAATGCTTCTTTCATCCTGTTTCTAAAAGTATTGACAGAGGACATTGAGAAGTAGCTTGCTCTGTGTTACTGGAAAATGATTAAATTTTTGAAGCCAGGCAATATTCTGGAAGGAAACAAAGCAGAGAGTAAAGAGAGAAGGTTGGCACACAGAGCCATAGGGAAATATAGTGCCTACCATGACATAAAAATACTAGTGATTTTGTAAGACATTTGCTTCTCCCCTATCTGCTAGTACTTTTGTTTTTGGTTTATTGTTCTTTTTTTTTTCTGATTCACACTGCAGAGTACTTTCAATAATTTACAGCAATTTAAAATAATTACAAAAACCATGAAATAGCAAAAGAATGTAAATGTCTGCAACAGTACAAGATACAAGATGATCACATTAGAAAATGTCACTGTCATAACTGTTATTTTGTTTTACTTGAAGGCAGATGCACACAAATATTTTAAGAACTTTAGAAGATCTAATCCAATATTTATCTGAATCTAAGCAAGTTTCAGCAAGAGAGTTTTTAAAGAAAAGCATATATTCTAGATCTGTCAGTGAATTTATAATAAACAAACAAAAAACCTAAGCCCACGCATCCTCTCATGAAAGCCAAAATAAATAGCATTTGTTTCCAACTCTATTTCTTCAGTTAACAGTAGCAGCACTGGTATTCACAGACAGAATAACCAGTAAAACAATGGCTCTTCCATTTCTTCTGAAAGGGTAGAAAACACAGAGTTATAAAATTAAATCCTTAAAATAAGCATCATAAGGGCAAAAATATATTAAAGAACAAAGAAGTAACCTTTGAGGTGGCCCGGGGACATAGTATGCAAGTGTTCCTTTTAGACTTGCATGCTAAGAGATTACTAAGTTCACTACAGTAAAGGAGCTTTAAATAAAACTTTATCATGCTAAAATAGAGCAGTGCTTTTTAGATGTTGCGCTAAAACTGCTATTCAATTATTATAAAAATAGGAAGCACAAACGATCATGTTCGAATGAAATGTTTGACATATGCATGTAAATAGAAAAGTTAAAAAAAAAAAAGCAAGAGGAGATAGTTGAGGAAGGCTACAGTGTTCAATTTCTCCTACATTTCAAATCTTAACTTCTGTCTCTTTTGCAGTGAGATAGCATTTTATGCACCTACGGCACAGTTTGGAAAGAGAACTTCAGTGATATTCTTGGTTACTGATCACTTTCATTTAGAAAGAAATCATGACTTTTTCAAACCTGAAAATTTCAGCCCATTAATCCTGGTTACAAAGCTATGCTGACTCTACTATCTCAGTTTCTTTGCTGTTGGTCTTTCTAGTACATTTCACATTCAACACAGTTGTCACAAATGTGGACTTCTCCTTCTTCATGTTTTGCTGCTAATATAATGCCAGTGAGTTATATGGACATCCAGGAACAGCTTAGGATGAATCCTGTCCAAGTTGTGATTTAATTTCAGTTTGCTTTAAAAAGATATACTAAGATTTACCGCTACTAAGTTTTTTATTTCAGTGTCATGAATTACGTCTTTATTCATATTTTATAGATAATGGAGCTGGCCTACCTTAAATGATTTTACTCAGACTAGTATAATAGTTTTGAAGAAAACTCATTAAAAAATTCTTGGTTATTGTTATGTGACTTAAGTGTGGCCTCAGTTTCCTTATGTGCATCTGTTTGGTGTGTTCTATATCCTCTAGAAATTACCCGTCAAGATGGACCACTACACATTATTCATTTGAAAAGGAAAGTATCTGTTACTACTGCATGCTCTACACTTTCTTAGTAAATGCACTGTGCAGTTGCTGATTTAGCACAACTATTTGTTACAATCCTGTAAAAACTGCCATAATATTGAAAATTAAGGTCTTACAACAAGCTGCACATAATTGACATTCCTTTCATAGAATAGAATAGGAAGAGATCAGTTTTAACAATTAAATGAGTTTTCCTTTTTGGCCCATACAATCAGGCTGTTACTTTTTAGGCAGTAATACCAGGGACCCTGTCTCAATTTTGCTACGTTAATAAACAGCAAATCAGTAAACTGATAATTGAGAGTGAAATCTATAATCATAACATAAATTTTAAAAGAGAATGCAGCCACTCAACATTTCTTCTTCATGTTGAGCCCCATTCTGAGACGACAATTCTGCAAATATATTTTATTTTTCTTCAGGGCATCTGTTCTCTACGTATAAGAGAGTTATTCTATACCCCTCCTCCAAATGAAAATACTGCCTTATTTCAAAACTGTTTGCAACAGCTGAAAAGAATAAGCATCTCTGGATGGGCTGGGGATAAAATGAACAAGCAGGTTCCAGGCAGCCATGCTGGCTTTTTTAAAAGCCTCTTGAGAAATCCTGTCTTAGTGAAGTGGTGCATTGCAGAGAATCAGCTAAGAAGTGGCTTTCCCAGTTTACTTAGTGGCTTCACAGAGTTTATGTAGCAGGTGTTATTAGCACTTCTCAGTAATAGTCACTTTAGGGGGTTTGTCATCCATCTTAATAATGCCACCAGCATTTCAGCAGATGGTAGACATGATTCCATGCACTCACTGCTTCTAAATTGCACCAGAACGGATTTCCATCATATTTTTAATTACAAATGAGAAATATTTCAGAAACAGACTTGTCTCATGCTGGCATTTCCAAAGGCTTTCTTCCAGGCAGGCAAGGGCTATGCCACTTTGTTTTATTTTTTATATTTCACAAAGATTGAATCATTCACAGGAGATATTTTCAGCTTGTTCAGAGCTAGAATTAAATCCAAATCACTCTTGTGTACTCTTCAGCTAAGCATCCTCTTGTTTTGAATTGGAATATAAGGTACCAGCTTTAGCGATAAAATTATTGTGCTAGAAAGCTTTCAAAAATAAGCAGAACACAACATATTTTACCTCAGTAAGACCACCTCCTCTCCAGTCCAGACTTGATTGGCCACAAATATTATCAACTATTAAGAGCAAATCAGGCAGATCAGAAGGTAGAAGGTTTTACATTTCTTATTAAATGTGCAGGCAGCATAAATGGTTAAAAATGTCTTCTAAAAAGTGAGTCTGAGAAGAGTTAAGACTGAAAATAAACACTAGTTGGGGGTATCTTTACAGTGAAGAGTAAGAAAACATTTTTAGAAATAAATATAGTATATGACTAAATAACTTAATTCCTGTGATGGACCTCCCATTTACGTACTAAGCTGTTAGGTAACAGTAACATTTAAGACCCAGTTCAGCAAAACTCTGAGGCAAGCACTTGAATTTCCAAGCAACTCTTGGGTATTTAGAGTTACAGACATAATAAAATACATTGCAGGATCAAGATTTTAGATAGCTTTATAGCAACAGATCAAATTTGTAAACGTACTTCATTTACTTTCTTTGTCATGATCCATTTATTGGTTTATTATTTTCCTTTTAACCTATGCTTTTACACTTCCTCTTTGGGCAAAAGTTCGGCGGTAGGTAGCTTTCCTTTAAATAGCACATTTAGCAAAATTAGTTGAGATACTATGGGATGGAAATGAGAAATTGACATACCAGAATTCTGGGTATTTGGTGTGCATTTTTCAAATACTATTAAACATGTATTATTTTAAAAGAAGATTAAATACTTTGAACATTAATAATAGATTTTGGCAGCCTACTTAATGTAGAGACTGCAAATTCTTATTTCTATCTAAAGTAGTTCAATGCATTCAAAAACGTAATAGTAATTTAGTAAATAGTTTTCCTCTATTTAAAACTTTATGTGTTCTGGCCTACTGACTTTCAGATTAGTGCAGGACTGGATAACGAGTGGAAAATCCACTATCTAAATGAAGCATAGTCAATCAGTAGGCTGATTGAAATTGGAATCTTTATCTTTGACATCTCTAAGTGTAATGACTGCATATTCAATGAAATTTGACAGTCCAATGCTTCATACTTTTCATCATGTCTAGAGGATTATATCAGAACATAAAAATAGCTTCTTGTCACATATTTCTGAGGAGCCCATTAAAAAAAAAAAGGAATGTAATATCAGAGCCAGTAAGTAAACTGAATTAAATTATAAAAAGTTAGATATAGACAGATTTCAACAAATTGTGTCCAACAAAAAGCAGTAAATACTGTTAAACAGGGTGCTCCACACAAGTCTTTGTAGCAACTGCATGCTTGCTCCCATCCTGACCGCACACATACAGTTGCAAAAGCCTGCAGTAATCAGGAAAAAAAAAAAAATCTTATTTTAGTTTTCATTTAGCAATTTTTGCAAAAGTTGCATATATTAGCCTCTAATTAAGCACCTCTTGGCACTACCTCAGTGCTTTTTCAATAAGTGGCACTTATGGTAATTCTATCCTTATTAAGCAGATGTCTATGCCACTCACTGACATTAGGTTATCTGGGGAGATATCCCAATAAAACAGTATGCAAATTAAATTTGTCCAGATTAAAAGGAGTTTATGGTAATTGTAACACCTTTCAATAAGTTTTTCACAGTAGGAAATATCATTTTCTTAAAATAAATCTGAGCCCTACCACTTCAGCAGGAGCACAGTGCAAGAAAATCATCCTTCAGAAGCCCTAGCAAAAGAGGATTGCTGTTTGTGACTTGGTGCAAAGGCATCCTGGAAACTGTCATGTGGGGGTCACTGTGAGAGTGAAGGAACAAAAGAAAACGCTTATGGAATTGGTTACTTTAGAAAAAAAAATATTCTGTGGAGTGCTAATAACGCAGTTCCCTTTGCCCCGACAGTTACTGCATTCCAGATCGGCACTGTCCTCACTCAGAAACCATTAAAAGTACCATTCACCTATCAGGCACTTAAAGAGTATGGATAACTACAGATCACTGTGATAAAAGCTAAAATTAGCAAAGAAAATTACGGGAACTTAATTAGAGGATCTAAAAGAGAATTAATATATTCAAAATGTTAAATTTACTGAAGTATAATCATATTTTTGACAAATACATTATCGGTCCCCCCCATCTGTGTAATTATAGAATAACTGTATATTTCTCTCTTTTTGCATACATTAAAGACAGAAGTATGTAGAAATGAAAAGACAAATTAACAATAAACACCAGTTTCAAGATACTTAATATGAAGTTAAAGGAAATGAAATTCACTTGCCTATAATAAAATGCTCCATGGAACTAGAACGACAAATTCGTACCATGGCATAAAATCACAAAGAGCTTTCCTAGAATTTGTAATTGACAGTGTTTACTGAAATTCCCAAATTACAAAAACGCTAAATAGAACTCCACTGCAGTCTTGAAAAATGGGAATGATGTGCACTACAAATCAAAACCTGAGATTCAGACAGGTTTGCAGATGTAAAAACTGAGCACTCAAGTTCAACTAGTAATATTTTATGTCTAAAAGGCTTTTCTGTTTTATTTGATAAATATGTTTTTCTAAACTTCAAGACACATGAAAATAAGCTTGAATGACAATACCTGCTGCCATGGTGGCCAACATTTCAGAAATCTGTCCATAAAAATATTTAGGCAAAAAAAAATCTGAAGATCAATATTCCTAAAATTTATAAAACATGGCCAAACAATATAAAGATATATTAAAATGTATGTCCAAAAAGTTAACTTATATAAACTTCATAAGTAGCAGAATAGCTACTTCAGAAATGAAAATTTGAAAATGTTATAAAAATATACTACAAGCTACAAGAAATATATAAATGACACTTACATTGGTCCACACCTTGCAATAATAAGAAAGTATAAATTCTGAAGACTTTTAGCCGTGTCTGGTAACTACAGACAAATGTATTAAGAATATGTTTGATTGATTAAGAATACTAACATTATATGGATTCAGAGATGACAGCAAATAGTTGAAAACTATTGAAAACTGTGTTTCAAGTGTTGTTTTTTTGTTCTAATACTGCAGAAGTTAGAGCATCATTAAAGTGATTCTCTGGTATCCTAATGGCTGCTGAAAGCACACATAATGCTGAGGCAATATGATCCTGAAGCTGTTCTTGTCTGTGCCAGGCACTGAGTGGTTGCAGAACTGGAAAAGCAGGAGACAGCCATGTTCAGGATGACCTAACACCACGTGCAACTGCATTTTTTTTTTTTTTAATTATTATTTCTTTTATTATCCCTTCTCCATCCTTCATTTTTCCTCTCTATAACTATTTATTCATTACAGATTGTCTGTACCAGATTTCAGGTACAACAGTCAACTCTTCAGCTGCTTTAAACCAAAACATCACCATTAATACTGGGTTGCAAACGTAACTGATAATCAGCTCTGAAAAAGGGGTACGTAACAATTAGCAGTTCAAAGCCATATCCCTTCCCACACAAAACAAACATCCTATTCATTTCAGCCACCTGCTGTCTCCTGATCCCCTTGGCAGAGAAGTATCTCATTGCTCTCAGACTACCTACATTCTGGCCAAGCCAACCTCCAGCGCTAAAATCACCCACTGTTGTGTCTGCATCGTAACCCAGTCTGCTCTAAGGGATTATCTTACTGGCACTGTGCTACTGTGACATTTCTGAGTTGGACGGACAACTTGTGAGTACTCAACAGACCAGCGTGGAAGGGTACACATGAACGTGGCATGGAGCAGAAAGACAGATACTTTCTTTACTTCAGAAATTTTCCTCTTGCTAGATCCCTCCAAAAATACTTTCCATAACAGTCAAGGAAAACGTTTCTAACGTTTAAAAGCAGGAAAATAATTTAAATTAATTTTAAACCAATTATCTCCTGTAAATCTACTAAGTTAAAAAACAGAAAATCCCACAGAGTTGTTTAAGGTTCCTTATACCTTGAAACCAAACCAGGCTTAGGTTTTGCAGTGTGTTGATTGTACCTCCTGGTCTATCTGCTAAAGTTACCATCCACTGTATTCAAGGTTTCCTTTCATGCTCACTTCCATCAAGATGGTAGCAGCACTTCTCTTTTTGAGGAGGGAAGGGATAGGGGAGATACTGATGAGACAATGTGTGTAATGACTGGTGATGCCACAAGCATATGTTCTGAAACAAGGGAGTTACGATACTCAGGGCACCATTTTATTTTTTAAATAGCTTTTCATATTTTCTCAGAATTAAGGCTATTTGTCTGAAAATATTTTCACCTTATAGGTATGCTAATCTACAATAGAGGGCATGAGGGATCATTAATGGACAGCCCAACTAATAAATAGGCTACTTTATATGTTTGCCCCAATCACCTCTAAAAGCTATTTCATTTATTTTAATTATTTCTGCAGAGCAGCTATATCCCTTGGTTTCTGTAGCCTCTCTCAGATGAAGCAATAGCCTAAGGTAAACACGCTCTCTCAATACTTATAGCAAACTAATTTTTGCTCCGTGTTAAAATAGGAAGACAAGCCCCTCCAGGACTCTATCTTCCAGTTTCACTGGAATGTCTGTTGCTAGCTCATAACTATGCATCTTAAGAAAAACATTGCATCACTGCATCATCCTAGTTTTCTTTAAACATTCTTAATAGACTTCTTTTGATTCCCTGTCAGGTTGCATATGTTCAGACTTAATTATAAGGACTCCATATGTTTATTCTTTTTCCTTCATCAAAAATACCCCCAATAGCTGTCTGTTGGCCTTCTGCCCTGATGTTTGCAATTCTTTGTTATAAAATCAAATGCTTTCCTTGCCTTCCCGGATGGCTATTTTAAGGACAGATGCAGTAGGGTAGGATGCAGGCCATGCAATGTTGCTGTGGCACTTTCAGTGGTGTTCAGACTTAGTGTCTTATAAACACTTGGCTTTGACCCAAACTTGCTCTGATAATCTGAATCTTTTGCTCCATGACCTCTGAGAATCATAATTATTTCCAGAAAAATAGTGCACCTGCGTGTGCTTCTGCAACATAATCATGTCAAGTAGAATGGGTGGAATATAGCATGAAAGTACATGGACTTGTGTCCAAATATTAAAGGCATAAATTGCAAGTCTTATGTTTACATGCGAAACTACCAGTGTCTTCCTTTTGAAATTCACAGTTCTTTGGCCATGGGCGTGGCTTCACAAAGCTAACTCCCAACAGAATCTTGGAAATGAACTACATGCCAGCCACCTGGAATCTGAAATGCTGTAGACTTCAAATGGCAACTTTAAGTAGTTTTTGAGTATGATGGAAGCCGGAACCACTAAGTACAGAATTCCTTCATGTTGATAAAAATGAAGTGACATTTAAAGAACATATCTGATCTGACTTCTGGAGCACAATAATCACAAAATGCATTTGAAAGATAGAATGGTAGAATGCAGTTAAACATTTGATGAGTTCACATATTATACAATCAGTCATACTTAAGACTGAATACCGAACACACTAAATATGCTGAAATGGTTACTCTAAAATCATCAAGCACTTACTGAGGTTAGGAAGAAACTATCCCCATAGTAACTCATTTCCCAGTTTTCCACTTTCCTATGTTATATGTTGGTTCATCTATCAGACAAGATCAGATAGAGTTCTCATATAATTTAGTAATACTAAAAAATTGCAGCTGTTTATTTAGTCTTTTTCTTCAAATATCTGATCAGTGGTCATTCAGATAGGGGAGAAGAAAAAGTCTAGCTTATTTAGTTTTAGCACATCAGAAATTAGTCCTTTCTTTGAAAATAGAAATGCCTATCCTCACACAAACTACATTATGAACAAAAATTATAAACAGCAACTTCAATTCAGTTTCATAAAATAATTTACCACTGATAATACATATCTCCAACGTAATTCAGCAAATATTTTTCACATAATTATTTCAGAAGACTGCTGTTAAAGAATTATTTCAGCAAACGTACAAATGATTTTACCTTTGTGCTCCTTCAACTTTTTAACTTATTATATGTTATTCCTAAACAAGACTGAAGCTAAATTCAGTGTCATATAAAATAGGATGCATTATAATGAATTAGTAGGCTATTTTATGCAGATAAATATACATTTTATTAATACATGTTCTTTTATTAAGTCACCCTCCCCCACATTCATTCACTGGATCAGCTTCCCCAACGGTATTACACAACCAGACTGCTGATCTACTTTAAGCTGTCATAAATTAACTTTAAAAGATGTCTTGAAACTAGGTGGCTTCATAGAGAGATCTTGAGAATCATACCTTCCATCTACATCTTCTACAGTCCTGTCTGTTACCTTATTAAAAGGAAGATATGAGTTTACAGAAACTTACATGTCCTCACAGACCTCTTTTTAGCAGAGGCATTATACCATACCATTCTGCCATAGCCCTGACTTCTTCTGTAATGCCAAGTTTAGGACTAAGGTTTGAAGTGCTCTTTACCCAGAAGTGGAAGAGTTATAATTATTCTTCTTATGGATTATTAACAGTTAGAAGTTCCACATTTGTGAACTAAGTATATTTTCAAAATCTCACTTACTTAAATTGTTTTGGAAGTCTTGCATACAGCTCAATGAGGCCATGAAATAGATTTTCACAATACACGTAGATGTTCATTTTCAGGTGCTTTACGATGTTGGAGCAAAATAAAACTGTGCTAAGTTATCTAATCCAGGTCATGAGTACTAGCAGTAGATCAAATCTGACTTGACAAGGCCACAAAAGCAATTTAAGAGTTACAACTACTACATAGGCAGGTCCCACAGACTGTGAGTGAAAACGGTCTTCAAGAATATGATTTAACTTTACTGGAGGCTTTTAAATTTTTTGTTTGAATAGTTTCTGTCTAATTGATATCCATCTGCCTATGAGAATAGTTTATACAATTGGAATACTGCAGAAAACTGTCTGATTAATTCCATTTACCAAATAAAAAAGTTCCTTTTGTTGTACACTTAGCTATTTACACCAAAAACATAACTTGTGTTTCACACTGTCATTTTGTCAGTTATGAATCTGAAAATGCTGCATGGCAATACACTATTACTACAAAGAACAGCAGGTAATAAAATGTTTGTTTTAATTAGCATTGTAAGTCCGATTAAATACTGTTTCATAGCACTGAAAGTTCCAAGCAGTTACCTAACAGATAGTCTGAAGCCAATATGAAGTACCATATCTTATTTAGTGTGACAAATCAGAAAACAGAAATCTAATCAAGAGAATTTGTATACAGTGTTTGAAAAGCTGTGATCTATTACATCTCATTCCCATGCAGCTCTATTTGAAGCAAACTTAGAATAGTAAAAATTTTACAAGTGACTTTTGGTTCTCCCTCCCTGCACTAGCATAGGAAACATCATTTTATAATTCAGGCTAGCAGTATGCACCCCTACAGAGGATTTTTCAACTTATTCCTTTGGAAAATTATAAATTAAAAAAAAAAAAGGTTTGTTTTGTTGTTTTCTGGTGGTTTTTTGTTTGTTTGTGGGTTGTTTTTTTGGGTTTTTTTTTTTTATTATTCCTGCTGTTTCAGATCCTTGAGGTAACAGCTGTAATCAAAACATAATGGGTGTTATATCCAACACATTGCACTTCTCTGTACTGAGCACTATATTGTATGAGAGGAAGCAGAAGCACCCCAAAACACAAAGTTTGACACAAACATTTTGCTAAGCTATAATTTACTCACTTTACCTCAAAAGGCTGAGACCACAGTGAGAAACTAATGATATTTGGTAAACTGTGGAACACTGGATCACGATAGCAATAAACCAAATTCAATTAATACATATCATAGCATAATTGAAAAACAAGCCTCTGAATAATGAATGCCCATGTCCATCCGGTCTCATTTGTTGTGTTTACAAAATCTTGCATACCAGGTAATGAAATTAATAAAATTTTCTGTCACCATTTCTACGCACAAAAAAGCATTTATGTGAGCAGATGGCATCTTTTACAGTGATCCTTACCATGAAACCTTTTCACTGCCAAGCATGATGATGTGTTGAATTATAAATTAAGCTGCACCCACTAATTCACAATCTACAGTGCCATAGAATTTACCCCAGAGCATTTTGGAGCCCATTACCCACCTCCTAAGAGCACCGTCTTCCAATCCACTCCCTCTTTATACCCTTTTCCACCCTGAAAACTGTATCTGTTTCCTACTAATAGCTTCCAATTCACATCACTGTGATGTTTTCTCACAGGAAGCAGAAAGTGAGAGGAGTTCACTTTCATCAACACTGAAGAGTTACCCTGGGAGCCAATCTGACATCTTGAATGAGTCCAGTGTGAAAAGGGGGAGAGCAATCTTCGAGAAGATGTCATCAGGAAATGGGCAGAACAACTTTGAAGGTTAGTTTTACCACTTTGATCTGATTTCCTCTTTCAGTAGTCTACACTAGCGGTCTCCAAACATTTCTGATGGCACACCGATACCCCTACCAGTAAGACACTTTTGAGCATGCCCTCCCCGTGTACATATATATATTTTAAAATAATATACATTACTATTCTATGAGTACCAATATATTATGTACACAAAAATAGGTATTAAAAAGGATGAAAGATGTAATAAGTAATTTAAAATGTTAAATTGTTAAATAAATGTTTAAATATCCTGATATAAGTTAGTTTCTTCCTGCAGCTCAATTGTCTTGTGCAGATCCTGGAGTACACACACCCACACACACCCTACTTTGAAGGCCACACTACAGTGTAAGAGAGCATACGTACCTGTGCTTTGGTTTAATAGAGAAACAATATTGATTATACACTACTTGGTTCCAAAGTCAAATATCTGTTATACAATACACTAACATGCAAACATATTTGAGATTCATCAGTTGTATACTTCTGTTTGCATTTATACAGTAAGTGTATGCAATGTATCACCATGCTAGTGCAAAGACAGCTTGGAACACGGCAATCTTCCTTTTATCTCTCCCTCTTCCATTTATTCCTCCTATTCTCTCAAGTCTATGCCGGTAATGTCAGAGAGAATCGTGTGTTTAATTCCTTTACACATAAATTAAACAATTTACTTCATCATAGAAATGGCAAAGGACAATCATACTCATACAGTCAGGGCAGCTTCCAGTAAGGGAATATGACACGCTTATCAATGCAAAAGTAGTTAGTTTGTTTTTTCATGAGTGCCATAAATATGATAAGTAATTATTCAATAAAATATAACAGGATGGATTCATATACTTTGCAAATGTATTCCTTGTAATTTTCATTTACGAATGTTGTCAAATGTTTTTGAAATCTTCAAAGCTCAATAATTTAAAGTTTACTCTTCTCATAATTTTTGATGAGAACAACCCAAATCTACAAATAAGTTCTCAAAAATATGGACAGCATTCATCTATTATGAAAAGCAGTAATTTGATTTTATATTTTGCTGGAGATAGTTTGGATTTGGTATTGTGTTGTTTTTATAATATGTTAACATTTAATTGTGGCTTTCTGCTTGTAAATTTTACATGCCATATCAACTGTAACATGTTATCTCTAGGCAGAACTTAAAAGAATATTTAGTACTGAAGAATTCAGTTCAGTAGAACACTCATAAACCAAATATAGTTTTCACTTAATTTCTCTCTTTTTTTTTTTTTAATAGCACAGAGCTAGAATAGAGCAGGAGAAAAAGAATCTTTGGATAAAAGGCAAGATGATAAAATTTAGTTGTTCATTAGTCTTGTAAGCCGAGTATTCATACACTTTGATGAGTTCAGAGCAAATCTCAATTTACTTTTAATGAGCTCAACCTCACTCTCAGGTGAGTGCAGTACCATGACAGATTCATACAGCTTAGCTTAATACATTATCTCATATGGGTAAAATATGTACCATAACTTTGAGACTGTGAACACCATGTTGCCTCTTCAGCAAGCTGTATCATTCCTGTTAGCTCTGTTACTATAAGTACAACATAGCTACACAACACTGAATGGCTCTGAAGCCCAAGGTGTTTCATTTTCCTAACTTCTGGTCCAAGTTTACTATAGGTAAACTACAGGATGACTCTGTATTGTTACAAAATGCAACTTTTCTTTCAAATACATTAAATTTAACATTAAAACAAAACACCTTAAACATCAGCACAGATAAAGTTAAATTTAAATGCTATTCTAATGAAAGCTAAAATAATTAAGTATATTGAATCTGCAGAAACACTTTTTTTCCTCTCATGGTCAATGCACAAAAAGCATGGGCTGGGGTCTGAACCAAGCCTATATGATTGACAGATCCTACAGAATTGCCACACCTTTTCTCTCTACAGAAGCTTTTTTCACATTTTAGAAAGACAAAAGAGATATTCAAAGAGGCACCTCTCCTCAAAAGCTTCAGAGATACTGTTTGCAGCTTCAGGCAGAGATTAGGAGGCAAATAATATATTTCCCTTTAAAGGTGGGTCACAGGAAAATTACTTTCATAAACATAGCTCTGATGTTTCCAGTAACTAGCCCTGTAGTATAACACTACTAATTTCCCTCCTCCATGGAGATTTCAATGACATACTTCAAACATCAACCTCCCTTTGTTTTTCAAATTCTAAACCACTAAAACTAGGATAATAATTCACACTGACATGTGTAACATGTCATTTTTTTTTTTTAATCTATCCATGAGTACTACTGAATACTTACATCCATTATTGGAGACTTGCAATGCTGTAGTTGAATGCAGTTTTTAAACAAACAGGATCAACTCAGGAAGAACACTCATACCATCAGGATTACGTCATTAATACTGCAGAGAGAAAAGAATGAAGACGTCACACAGATTAACTGTAATTCATTGGGCTGAGGCAGTTTTTTCCACCACAGTGAAAGCTCTAGTGATAAGATCAATATTTTACTCAACTTTCTTTAAGACATATACTATATATATTTTATGACTTGAATAAAAGTTTCATCTTGGTGATATGAAATGACATGAGGGATGAGCATCTAATACTTGTTTGAACCTAGTCCCAGGCACACAGCAACTTACAGTTATAGTCACTTAGAGCAGGTTCCATAATGGCATTTGGAGACTTCTTGGAAGCTCAGGCTGGGGAAGATTTACTGTTCTGAGAAGGAGAAGCCCTTTCCAGCATATTAATGTTTACCACAAGGTAAATCATAAATCTGCATTCTGTAACGCCATAAGAAACTTCTAAGTAAGAAGCTAACATGCAGGCTAAAAATTACCTGCTACTTACCTAGTGTGAATTCATGTAAAATTACATGCAACTTTATTGCATGTAAAATTACAGCATCAGTTGATATTAAAGATAAGACAAAACTGAAGAGTATTTTTTTCTAATATCTTAGAGTGAAACATTTATATTCACATGGCTAAGTAGACATAACACTTGTTTACCCACAAGTAATAAACTCAGGTATTATTTAGTAAGACAGAAATGATTATTTCCTTTCAAAAGGAAAAAAAGAACTTGAATCACAAGAATCCTTGTGTTTGGTTTTTTTCATGGCAATTCCAGACTCAAGTAGACCAAAAAGTAAACCTCAGTGAGCAAGACCTCTTTTAACTAAAGCCACCATTACCTGCTTTATCTATAAACCACTGTGATACTTATTTAAATCTCTCTGCTGCAATGTTTTGAAGGACGAGTGATCATTTCTTTGGTAGTCAGGATTATTTGTCAGTTAAAGTCATTACTGTAAAAGTGGATTTATTTTTAAAAATATTCTCTACATATGGTGTTTGGAGAGCTATATTTATTGGCTTTCAGTGACTTCAAAAATGTAACTTTGACTCTTATTTTGAACTAGTTATGCTCTTCAAAAGTTAGGCTATCAAACTCGTTGTCCTTAACAGCCAAGATGATTTTCTGCTGTAGACATTATTACCTGTTTCCTTAGCCATACCTTACTTTTTTTTTTTTTTTTTAAACACAATAACTTTATTTTCTGCACAGACATCTGAGTAACAGGAAACCTGTCTAAGTTTTGGCTGATAACAACACTGAAAGACAGAAGCCAGTTTTGTGGCTTTGACAAAACTAAGAAGTCTGTTGTTACAAAAAACAGTAGATAAGATTTCGTAGCAAAGAAGAGGAAGAATATTTCTAAGAAATTTCCTCATTTATAATCCAATAAATTTATAATGAACTGCATTCTACAATCCAGAGAGAAATTAATTTGAGGCAAGAGCAAAAAATTGCTCTTAGTAGGAAATCACTTACCACACATCTTTGGCAATGCTGGCTTAAAGAGCCTCATTCCCTTCTTTCCTCACATTTAACCCTGTCACCACACTGAATGACAGTACCTCTCATTTGTGCTGCCAAATCAGTCAGCACACATTGTGATCCAGATCAGAGAACTGATACAAATAAGAAAAGAAGATAAACAAAACAATCAAAATTAAAAAGATCTTTCTTCAATTTGGATTATTTTACTCAAAGCCACTGGTTTGTTTTACTGTGTAGGTTCTTAAAACAGTTGTACCATCACAGGTTATAGGAATGGTGTATTGCAGTCCAAGAAGGAGAGTGAGAATGAACAATTCTGAAGGTATCGCTACTGTGCAAACGCCAATGTTGTGAAACCTCTCATTTCCAGATGCAACAAGTTGCAGCTTCAGCAGAAATTGTTAAACAGCTTTGAAGTGACAGAGCTTTACTAATGATATTTAGGTCTGTATCTGAAGAAGAAACACACCCCTGGACAAATGGACTCTCACCTATGGATTGACACAACTGAACAAATCTTAGCACTTAAACTCTTCAAAAATAGAAATAATTTCAATGAACTAATGCCACCTTTCAGTGACCTAAGGATGTATTATCAGCTTTTATTGATGAGTGCACTTAACATAGGCCCGAGGCTATAGCAGGAATTTTATTTATAACTAAACCAAGCAAAGCTTGGTTTGTGGAGTAAGCAAGTGGTAGCAGTTGTACAGGCAACCCAGTGGTGCCAGGTTCTGTATTAGGTTTAACTGTTCTGTGCATCTTCTGTAAGAAGATTCATCTGAGTACCTACTATGAACTGAAAAATCCACTGTGCTTAATTCAGATCCTATTTTCCCATTTTTTGAAGATATCGACAATAGCATGTTTTATGAATGATTATTTACAATTTATTGTAAAATTATTTACAGGAGAGAGTGACTGTAATTGGTAGGGTTTTCTCTGAAGAATAAGTTGTAGGTTAATTAAGTTTCTCATTTGTTTCTGGTATAAACATTGTTTTCTGCAAATAATTGTCAAGTTAAACTATCAGCTGAATTAGTATGTAGGTAACACACATGATGCTTTGCAAACATATCTGCTACCTACGTGTTGTAGGCATTTGGACGTGACAAAGTGACATAAGAATCAGAACTGCAGTTGATTTACTTAAATTGTAGGTTGTTACTCAGGTTTCAAAAAGCCCACATTAAGTTAAAGTCTTTTTATGGTGCTGTGATCACAGCAACTATTTTGCACATTTAAATGAGGTATACACTACTGCACATCTATTTCATCCACTGCTCTGTTTAAAAATCTGTCCCAGTACAGCTTATAAAAAGAAGATCCTTGCTAAAGTCATTTACAACTAGTCTACATTGGTCTCTAGGGCTGTAGGGCTTTACAGAAAGTTATTTGCATTTCAAATGACTTACAATGAACACTGATTCAGACAACTTAAATGTTACAGCACATAATTAATTACTTGAAATAAACTTGTTTAATTGATAGTCAATGGGCTGAATCCTGAATTGAAGAAGATTACTTTCACAAAAGTATAATAAAGTGAAATAAGAAACTTGCAATTGTGCAAGTAACATAAAAAAGACCAAAAAGAGTTTGATGTACTTGATTAGAAGATAGAATAGGCTTAGATTGACTCTGTAATAAAAATATTGTGTGATGTTCTCATGGATTTACACAAGTTGATGAATACAAAGACTTACAGGCCTTTGCAGTTAATGGGCCTCACCTTCTGTCTCATCATGTCCACCAATTTCAATGGAGTTACCCTGGACTTATGTAGCTGCAGATAAGAGAATTCATACTTAATCTAAAAAGAATCAAGAGAAATGACAGGTCAGCATGTAAAGTCCAAATTAATTTCTACTGGCAAAAACAAATCCATCTTTGAAAAGATTATAGTTTGACTTTTAATCTCTAGTGAATTAGCATCCAATTTGGATAAGCATCTTTGAGTACTTATCTAACATTGGGCAGTTAGTGACTGTTTGCTCTTTTTTAAGCACATATAGAACATTGATTTATAAACAGTCTTCCTTTGTTCCCATAACTAATTACTGTCTTGTTCCTAACTTTTTCAAGTAATTGTTATCCGAATAAAATCCATCAGCTCAAATACACTGATGATTTAGATGCATGTTTTTCACTTCCCATCTCCACCTCTGTTGGAACCATGTCCATTTCTGCACACTCACTGTTCAATAAAGGCAGCAGCTGTCAATCTCAGTTGCATCTTTTAGCCACTCTCAGAGCATATCTGGATATTTGGTGGGTGCAAGTGTCTGGTAGTTACGTAGGTTTATTGTGCTTATTTTTCAAACTAAATATAGGAACTCCTATCATGTTGAACTTTCAGCCACTGGATATCTTCTCTCTTCCCCCCCCCCCCAGCAAATTAAAGAGATTTTTAACCTGCTCATTTCTTCTTGGAAGGATAACTGTTATCACATCAGCTCTTCACACTCTTTACCATTAGATACAATTTATAAATTGATACTAGATACAATTGTATTTTTCCATGTGGGAATATTTTTCTCTGTATGTTTTTGAGATTTTCAGATATCTTTTTTTATAAAAATGGTTGTAAGCAATTCTTTTTTTCCTTTCTCTTTTTAAGCTCTTTCAGTTTAAAGATTTTATTTCTCCTTTCTAACCAGAGAAATGAATCCTAGATTCCATACCATGTCTCTGATTCTAAATTGAGCAACGTATGTTTCAGAAGCAGTTTTGATCTATCAGGAATAAGAAAGCCTATGAACTACATAAAAATGCATAGTCAACAATTCACGTCTCTTAAAAGTGAAGATTTTTCTAAATATGTGACAGACCCATAGAGGATAGCGAGTTGTTGGTTTTTTTTTTTCCTAAAAGGTCCTGTGAGAGCTGTAATGTAATATTTTGCATTCAGTCTTATGAGAAGCAAATTCCCTACAGACTCATTTGAGTATTTGAAAGCACTGATGAAAACTCTTCAACTTCTAGTGGCGCTGAACTTAGGAGCTAAAATCTGCAACTATGCACTTGAATAAATCTTCAAAACCTGAAAAATACAAGATAAGGCTGATCCACAGATTATTTCTCCCATGAGTTTTGGGTTTTCTATAAATGCTTCAATTTTTCAGCAAAAGCAAAACTCTCAAACCACATCAGTGCTATGGAACTTTTTACTATGTGTTTCAATTATGCAAAAGCCTTGTTTTTCTAGAAGTATCAAGTAACATTTACAGCAAGCTCTGTGGCTGAGTACCAACAATTTCCATTGTCTCCACTGAAGAACAATGAAGGCAGTGCTTAGAACGCTGTTTAATCTATTACGAAAATGCTGAGAAACCCAAAACAGATAGTTAATATAGTTATATCACTGAATAGGACCAGCAGTAAGACAGAATTCTCCAGTCCTATTATGCCTGAAAGATTTGTCAAGCTTTATTTACTTTCTATAGTTGATATGTTATCCTTAATAAATAATTACATAGTCTGAAATAGATATAATCATGAGTCTCACATGACAAAGGAGAACAGCTTTTTGTTGACATACCTCACACAGGTAAACATAAGGCTCCTACAACAAAACATTTCATCATAAACACACATTTATCCTCAAAAGAATCAGAAGATATTACACCTCTGAGTATTCCTGAACAAACAAAATCTTAGAGCAAAATGAATGAGAAAGAGCACAGATTGCTTAATCCCTCATACTGGCAGAAAGGATTTTGTGTTAATTTACACTATAACTAGCTTCCAAGGATAGCACATTTCCTTTTTTAAAGGTAACAGGAGAATAGTTTCTATTACTTTCACTCCTCAAGCGGCTAATAATATGTATCTATTAAAATGTTTTTTAAAACAGTCCATTAAATTCATTGGCCCCAGTTCAGCAAGGAATTCAATCACATCTAACTTTAACCACATGAGTATTCCCATTTCTCCTGATGAAACTATTCACATGCTTACAATTAGGCAGAATCCAAGAACCCCTTGCTGACTTGGAACAACACCAAGAAAGGTTTTAAACTTGTAAACACTTTTGAAAATTAGAGCAGAAATATAATACTGGTAGTAGTCTATTTAAATACTGCCATATGCCTTTGAAATGAAACAATATTGTTGGGTGACTCTCTCTCTCTGTTTCTGAAGAACACGTTCAATCTTTCTACTGTTTTGGTTACATCTGGTTTCATGTACAGAATTCTCATTTGGAGGACAGCAATTTAGTCTCTCCTTATTTCTACTTCCTCTGAAAATCATTTTCTTTTCTTTCCAGCAAGCTTTCATTAATTGTAACTGTTGCTATACTTTCTTAAGCAGGAGTAATTATTTCACTGATCATTACTGCATCCAATATACAAACATACAGAAACAAATAGAAAATTATCTTTGCGTAGAAGTTTTAAGGAGGGTGAGAAGAAAATACTTAGAAGCTGGGTGTGTTTACACTGAATGCCACTCTTCAGCAAGCGTTTGCATAAAAGTCTGATTTTAAGGAAGACTGTGATTGCTTATTTTATTTGCTTGCTATAACTGGACCTGAACACCTACGCCAGCTAAACAGCTCTACAGTGAATGGGCAGACAGACTAGATATGCTCTTTTTCTTCCCTGTTTGGTGGGATACCTCTTTCCTGGCACTGTTCTATCTAGCTGAACAGAAAGCATTTTGGAAAGTCTCTCTGCTGCTTTTACTAATGCCAAAACTAAACAACGGTCACTGCATAAGAAAAAGGGGAGATTTAGGATATGTATATTTTCTTCCCAGCCACCATCTTAGTAAAACAACAATCAAGTTTAGCCAACTTAGGTAAGAAGAAACGTGATTAACTGAACCTGCATTTTTGTCATGCACATGTATGACATTATGCCTCACAGTTAGGCTTCCAGAACAAGGAGTTGACTCTGACAAGAGCTACATAGGCTTCACAACTTAAAAACATCCAGCAAGTTCTACCCATGAATATGGAGACAAAAATCACCTGTCCCACCCTACTTGCTCCAAAAAAGGAGTGGTGTGTGCTTCAGTGGAGCTGGTCTCCATGGGATGGTGTATTTCAGTAGACTGAGAAATTTGACGTAAAAACTGACAAAAAAAATAACTGTTGGGAAAGGCTTTTTCTTCTTTATAAAGATGACACTATTCTGTAAATGGTTTTAATTAGCACTGAAAGACAGAAAAGTTAAGTGCACTCTACTACGTGATTGGTGTTTTATATGTACATTAAGAGACAGTTGAATCTGTATGAAGCAAAGATACTAATTTCTTAGCACATCTATAGGTAGCAAGCTGTTAGAACAGGAAGATATACCTGTAGTACTTCTACCTGCCTCTTACTCTTAGTTTTTAATTTAGTAATTTCATCAATGTTGAGAAATTCAAAGAGAAAAATCATGCCTGGTACTTTTAGGGGATTTCTGTGGGTGTTTTTGTTGCTTTATGGTGTGAGGCTTTTTGGGTTTCTTTAGTAGGTTTTTTTTGTTTTGTTGGGGTGTTGTTTTTTTTATTGTTGGTGGGTTGTTTTTGTTTTTTTGGGTTTTTTTGAGACAATTTGTTTCAGCTATAGCCTATTTCTGTAATCTCAGAAAAAGCAGTTGTTTAAAAATAAAAGCAGGGCTGGTTGTGACAAATTTATTTCATCCTATTCTGCAACAAGGAGAAACTGATGGATTTAGGGAAGATCAGGGCACACTGATTTGTGCAGTACAAGCACAAGGATTAAAAAAAAAATAGATTCTGCTGGCTTTACTAAAAATACACGTTCTTGAATTCTCAAGTACTGGTGTCTCCCCTCCCCAAATGGGAGAGGCCTATTTGCAGAAATTCAGCGTTATTCAACTCAATTTTCCATGGACTGTAGAAAAATCTTGGTAGGACAAGAGGAATTTCCAGCATGTGGATTAAACTTTTTTGCTTCTGATTATAGATGATAGAGATGCTTACAGCATACTCTTTTTTCTCTTTATCTGAAACAAGAAGGCAAAATACCTCAATGCTAAATTTAAGACACCTTTCTAATTAATTCATATAAATTTATTAGAACAAAAGACTTCCTGGTGCTAACAAGTCAGCGCTGCTCTTTCAGGAGTACTCTGAACCACTGTCTCCACATTCACTGTTTCTGAACTGCAGACAGATAAGCTGTAACATACTGTCAGAAAGGTAAGAACATTCACACACTCTAATTTTGAAAAACGCAGTTCAGCTTTAATTCTTGCCTTGCATTGTGTGTGATGAGCAAGATTACTCCTTTAACACAGCGCTGAATAAGTAAAGCACAATGATACCTGTGAATGCTTGAAAAACAGCCAGGAATTATCCCCTAGAAGTATTTTCCAACATCATTTGTAAAATTCCTCTAGCAAATGCTTTATTTCAAGTGTTTAATTTATAATTAAATTACATTTCTGCAAATCAGGCAACTCTTTAGTGAAACTTAATTGCAATACCTGATGGATAAAATAAAAGATGTAGAAATAGAACAAATGATTAAGAGTATCACTGTCTGAATTTAGAAAACGGAGTCCTTCAGCAGGAGTGACAGCTGACAGCCCTTGCCCAAGCTGAAATAGCCTTATGGAAGCAGTGCTATTGCACTGCATACTGATCATGGTCATAGTTAACACCTGGAAATGGACTAGCTGCTTGTGCTCATAAATTGGCTAGATTACATTTTGAGATTGGAAGGTCACACGTAGTGCTACCATATGTGGGTTAAATATTCTTTTCTATGTTGATTGTGTTTTGTCACATACGGTTAAAAGGGTACAGAATGATTTATGGCTATTTTAATTGAGTTCTGTGCTATATTTAAAAGCCAGTATTGCTTACAGGTATTATAGGCAACTCCAAATTCCTTTTCCAAGCAAAAACTCCTTGACTTCAGAGACAGTATTGTAGTTCATTTTCAGCACAGGCTTTCAGAATTAGCCTTTGAACATCAACACTTCCCTAAACATTTTCAACGAATAGTTTCTTAATATTATCCCCACATTGCAGTACTACCAAACACAAACACGGATGTTTAAAATACAATGTTATTTCCCCCAAAACATTCCCTAGTTTCAAAAACATCATTGAATTCATTTTGCCTGTCCTAAATAACTTCTAAACCATTGCTAACAAGTTGTTATTACACTAAGTTCCTACTTCTGCTTTCAAGATTTTGAGAAAAAATGCACCTGTTTCCTACTCAGGAATCACGATCTCTTTGTATTTGCAGTGGGTCGTCGCAAACGTGCAAGAGGATTATCAGAAGAGAGTACTGCCAAGGCTGGGAACACACTGATGGACTTCGAGGAGACTGTCTCCTTGAAAGAAAAATTGGCTCTGTATCAGGCTGCTGTGTCCAAGGCAGAGAGCAGCAACTCCTTCTCTAGTGTAAGACAACAGTGCTTCAATTATGCTCTTAATTCTGTGCTTGCTCTGCATACCAACACATCATAGTATTCTATATCTAGTAATTTAAAGCACGAATTAACAAATCTACATAGGAAACATATTGATCCACCAGTCTCTGCCTCTACTGAATGAGATTTTTCATGCTATGTACCTTTGGTCATTCAGACAACTGCCTTTAATTCATGGAATTACTATTTTTTTTATTCCACTGCTGCATGAATTTCATTTATTAGGACTGAAAGCATAAGTATATTGCTAATCTCTTATTTTATTAGATCATGATAACAAAAAATGACAGATTATTTATCACTAAAAGTATTTTCAATCATGAAATAATATTACATTCAAGTGATTCAGTTTAGAACTCCAGCTGCTCCAACTAAAGAATTATTACATCACAAAATAGCAACTCTGTGTGATCAGATACAACAGAAGGCATAGTTTCATACCAAAGTAATTGAAGATACAGTAACTATACAAGAAATACTTTAAAAAACCTTAATATAACTTTAACTCTCTACACACCTATCAATAGGAATTGGGCATTTTAAGGAAGTTTACTATTACTACCAAGAAGTGATGGGGATGAACAGTACAGATAGTTTAAAGAAGTTGGAGGAATTTTAATTAAAGGAAAAAACCTTTTTTCCACTCAGTACCATAGGATAACATGGAAGACAGAGCTTATAGTTTGTGAGAATCAAGTCAGAACATCAAAAGAGAGAGTGAAAACCTCAGTTACAAGTTTGCTGCGAGATAAAGCAAAGAAGTTGGTCCTCAGCTTCAAAAACCCAAGATGAAACTGCCAGACAATGAAAGTATTAAAAAATAAAATGAAATATGACACTTTTGATGGCAGTGGAAGCAATCCAAAATTTCATTGTAAGAAAACAATCTTCCTATTTTTTCGTTATAGTAAAGACTTGCCATTATTGTAGAAAATACTGTAATTTTCATCAAAACAATAAAAAAGCATACTATCAAGAAATTTCTCCTCTCCTGGATATGTTCAATGATAGATTCCACAAAGCATTTAATGTAATAGTAAGGCTCAGAAAGTTATTTCAATAGTAAAAAGCAATGAACTGTTATAGGCTATAGAGACTGGGGAACGATCCCACTACATACCGCTTTCTGGACATTTCAATTGAAAATATATTTGATGTATATTCTGAGCACTAATTGATTAAAAAGGGGGATCTTTTAGCTCTTTGCATGCTCATTAGCATCCCCTGTAACTTTCACCTTGCATCTTAGTCTGAATAACTGTCTCAATACTAGATTTTCCTTTTATTTGTTATGTAATTAAGTCAGTTGTGAAGAATTTATGGAGAGCAGTATTCTCTGACAAATCTGCTGAAGAATACACTTATACAGACAGTACTTAGAATTGAAGAGGGAGGTAGAATTATAACATACAGCTTCACAGTCTTGCACATGAAGGAAATAAGAATCAAAAAAATAGTATTAACTTGATACTCAAATAAGATACTACTCATTATAACACAATGGAAAGGACAGCAATGGCAGCAAAGTAGCAAGGACCTAGGCAAGTGAGGATTTGCTCAAATGCAATGACCAGAGGCACAGAAATAAAGAAAAAAAGCTGCTTACCTTTAGAAGGCCTCAGAGCATGTACAGATTTCTAGCAAGACACCCTCGCATCCACTGCCAACCCTTAAATGAGATCTGGGAAGGGGTTGATCCTGACTCCACCCTTTTTGGTCACTCAAGGGTATGCACCTGAGCTCCCCTAGGTTGGCCCTGCCTTCCCACCAGGTGCTCAATCACTGGTTCATGCCATGACTTGATATATCCACTATACCCATAATATGGAATACTATCTGAAAATACAAACGAACATGAAATCCCATCGTGCAGCACAGTGATGTTGCACCTTCTAGCTATGGTCGTACTTCATTTATCATCTTAGTAGCAGACCACTTCAGTACACATTTAATTATCAGGAAAATACGAAAGTTAAATTTTCAAATATCAGTCACTAAAATCACTAAAGTCTATTTCAGTTCTGTTAATTAATGTACACATAAAGACTAAAGGATACAAAGTGCATTTTTACCTTCCCTTGAAATCCTAGCTAAAAGTTCAATCAATTTTATTTGCACTTTGCCCTTGGGAGGAGGGGCTTGCAGCAGCTGTGGTGACCTCCCAGTCCTTGGCTAGCCCAGAAACCACTTGGTGCCAACAGTCACCCAGGTGGTTTCAAACCATGAAAATGCTATCTGCTGGCTTCAATCTCCTAATTGCCTTTGTGTACTCAGAGCAGATGCCTTCGGTTTTTCTGTCTGAGAACCTGTTAACTCCTTCCTCCTGCACACCTGCATTGCTGAAATTGGTTCTACCTCTCTAAAGAAGCCTGACCCAACCTAATTTTGTTGAGAGTATACCAACTGCTTCCTTTACATTCTAAACCTTGCTGTTTCCTTTTAACATTGATTGTTGCTTGAATAAAGAACTGTGTATCAGGTTCCATTAAAGGGAATCAACATACTTCCTTAAAGGATCTGTGACTGCATTTAACTACTCTAAATACCTTTAAAAGGCTGGCAAGGTGTGCCTGCAACGTTTGTTCATTAATTATTTTTGACATTCACTCATCTATTTCTATATAAAATTATGCCTTCCATGGGAGAAAGAATTATGTTTTTTAGTATCTGCTTACTTAGCAGATGTTAAGTGTTAAAGCTACTGGTAATCTTCATTACAATGCAATTTTTAATTACTAGGGGTTTTATTTTCTGCATGTTGGTTAATAAGTTCAAATGCTTAAAGGTTTGTTTGCTTGCTGTCTGAGAGGTGGCACAAATAAGGGACAGAACCTGAATAGGGAGCCTGAAGGCACTCTTCTAGCCTTTATCACCATTGTCGAAGAAGAAAGATCATCTCACAAAGGTCTGCCTTAAGTTCTCTGTATGTTTTTCCACAATAGCTACTGAGAAAATACAGAAAGAGCCAGCTGGCAATACTGAAGGCAACAGAACTAAAAATATACAATTAGAAGAGAGAACCGCAGAGGTTTGTTCTGAAAAGTGACTGCTACTGGCAAGCAAGTAGATGAGACCTACTATTTCTGTGTTAAAGATTCTGGCCAAAAGTCCATATTTTGAAACTAGAGGTAGTCCTTTTGTTCTCTGAATCACAATTTATGGTTCTTGTTCAGTGGTCTAAGAACTTGCCAGATATGCTATTTATGACTGTCTGTCTTCCCTGCCAATGACTGAGTAATTCTTGCAAATAAAGAGCATTACATGGCTGAAAATATGCAACTAAGTTTCTGAGGAAAGTGGAGTCCTCAGATAGTAGTTTTGGCAGAGAAGAATATGCAGCTACACCAGCTGGATCTATTGCACACAGATGCATTTAGCAATTTGTGTTAAATAAATTCCAAAACAAATTCATAATCTACAGGTCCTAATTATTGATCTCAAATAAACATCCTAAAGTAGGCCAATGAGATTTAAAAATTAATCTTAGCAGTATTCATGTGTTCTATATTTTGATGACAAACGTCAAATAACTGTTCTACTACTATATATCTATTCTGAATGCTAATGCTAATTCCTATGCAGTATTGAAGTTTTAAAAATTTACAGATTATGTGAGCTGAAGTTGCGTATAATATAAGAATATAGCAGAGTACAGACATATTCAAGTGCTTTCAAATTCTCCATTTTAAATTAATAAGTATTGTGGTGTACTGCTCTTAATTACTTTAAAAAATAATTTTAAAAAAGCATGTTATTACTGCAAATGGAGAACAACTGGCCTTATTTTATTACTCTAGATTCCAGAGAAAACCAAATCCTCTACTGTGTCTGGTGGCCTGGCAACAGTAAGGAAACAATTTGAGAAAGGGAAGATGGTCTCTTCAAACAGGACCTTTGCTCAACACCAGCACCAGCAGAAATCTGCACAGGTAACAATGGGATTTTTAATACTAACAAATGAAGGATGCCTTGTTAAACAGCCCCGTGGAAAAATATGATTATATGCTTTAATAAAGAATTTTCTTTACAGACAAGACAGTGTTTCTACAGTGTTGACACTCATAGGATTCTCTCTTTAAGAATATACTACATGCAGCAGTCAGCATGTCTGAAAGCAGATTTCTGATATAAAACTAAAAACAAACAGAACAAATAAAACAACCACCACCAGTTGTTACAAATGATGCAGTATGCTATAATAAGCTTACGCAGTAAAATAAATTTTATCTGGAGGATGGCTGATGTGCTCCTGGTGTCTAAGCAATTAGTAAACTGGGAAGAAAACTGCAAAGAACCTATGAAATCATAGAATGTCTTAGGTTGGAAGGGACCTTCCAGTTCCAATCCTCCACCGTGGGCAGGGCTGCCACCCAGTGGATCAAGCTGTCCAGGTCCTTATCCAACCTGGCCTTGAACATCTCCACGGATGGGACATCCACAGCTTCTCTGCACAGCCTGTGCAAATGTTTTTTTCTAGAATGTTTTAATCATTGTATTATTGGGACCAACTGGATCCTTACTGAGCTGCATCTCTCCATTTCTTCTGGAACTAGAGGGTACATAGTTGGTCCATAGTACAGCTTGGGAAAACTTCAGACCTCATTCACTTGCACTGTTTTGCAGCGATAACTTAGAGAACTCAGTAGTGCTGGTAACAGTATTTTTTACAGTGGGAAAGAATGCTATTACAACCTGAGTCCACCTGAGTTCGTACAGACCCTAATAGGTCACGTGTACCCCTTCATTACAGGGAACTCCATCTTACACAGCAGTACTTTTTAGTGCTTTTCAAATGAAGACATGGGGATATGGAAAAGGATGTGCACTTTAAAAAAGATGGATTTAAAACAACATTTTAACTACAAATAATTAAAATGCTGAAACAAGAGCACAAACTAATTATCACTATAGTCATTATTCTGGAAGTAGTTTAGTCTAACAACTGTAAAATCCTGCTAGTAAGAGCAAGCATAAAGGTAATGAAACAAATGCTTGAGTAAGCTAAGAAAAGATAAGTGATGGGAAATTAAAGAGACTCACGTTCAAGGACACAACAAAAAAGAATAATAACATATTTGTAGAAATATTAATAAAATAAAAAGTATTGATGTCTACCTTCCTTCAAAAACCAGTAGCTCTGCTGACTGCGTAGGTTTGGATAGACATTAATTAAGCTAGGCAGTCTTGCTAACTAGAGTCAAATTTCATTATAAATTAAAAAGTAGTGCAAATAAATTGCTTAAATAGCTTCTCTGCCTGGTCTTCAAGTATTCCTTTGTTAACAAAAAGCCATTTCATTGCTTTATAAAGGTTTACACCTGCAACTTGCATGAACATTAACAGGGCAAATCTAATTGTCTTACAGACTTCATGACAAATATCTGTGGAAAAAGACAGAGATACCTGAGAAAACAACAGCTTTTTTTTTTTTTTTTTAATTGTAATAATTTCATTCATATAATTCCTTCCAACTTAAATAATTTGCATATTGCTTTTCCAATTATGTGATCCAACCTTGCTGCAACTTTCTGGGTGAAGAAATGCAGAACCATGCACAGAAACTATGCGACCTTTTAACTTACTCAGAACAAAAGAGTTTTCTTTTTGTGATATGAAGATAACAACTTCTGGCCAAGCAAACAAGTCTAGTTCTGTACAAAGCCACTATGATGGTTTCATTTCACAAAAATGTGATCTCTAAGCACAAATCATTAGCAGAAATAGTTACAAACACGGGAAATAAAATCACTCAAACTATGTAGAACAGTTTTTGAATTTAGGTTGAATAACTTACTGAAAGACCACAAAATCCCATTACTATGGAATGTAACTGCACTCTCATTGAAAATGGGATTTTATACTTAGGTAGCTGACCTGACTCAAGGTCACTGAATCGATCCTCAGGCAAAATAAGGAAAGCATGTCATTTGAACACAAATCTCTTGATCTGGATAAATCCAAACCGTTAATAAATGCTTAAAAAAAGAAATTCATTTTTTAAGCAGTAATCTAAATAGTTGAAGACTTTACTAGATATTCAAATATTTCATAAAGATTGCACAGTTCAGCATTCAAAACATCTACATATGCAGGTAATATTTAACTATCTTTCTGTTTTTTTGAGACCACAGTCATTACTTGTAGCTCTCTTTATTTTATAAAAGATTTATTCTGAAAAGTGAAAAGTGATCTATTATTGGTAGGAAGCAGAGAAATCTCGTCCAGAATGGTAGCAATGAAAGCTTACCACAGAATTGCGACCTGCTTCTTTAAAGACTTGATCTTTAACTTGATTGCAGACATCATGAACACCTGTTGTTCACAGCCACAGGTCTAAGAAGAGGTCATGATCTTCACTGTTATTGCTCTGAAAATGCTGACCTGAAGTTGTTTGCTAGCTCACAGTCTGGAGCAAAAGTATGTTTGCATGTGATAAAGCTGCTTAACGTGTAACTGAACAACCAGCAGGCTGAAACTTAGGGAGAACAGAACAATTATAAAATTTTTGGCTACTGTATTCTTTGCATCAAACTCATAGGTTACTGTTCTCTGGTGCCAAAATAATTTGATGTTTGGTATAAGCAGAACATTATATCAGTGATTTATGAACAAACAAACAAACAACAGTAAAACAACACTCCAAATCAGAAAAGAACTATTACTGGCACTCTGGAAAAGAAAGTAATTCCTTGATCTTGCCACAGAGGCTGTAAAATCACTGTTAGAATAGATCTGAAGGGCACAACAGCTGCTCAGACAAAATCTCATTATCCAGTGTCAGACATAAGCACTTTCTGGCAAGCAAGCTTAA